ATATTTTAATGAACGACCAAATCAATAATATTGAGAACCCACTCTTCTCATTTTTAAGCTTTTAGACTAAATATACATATTTTTTGATTTTTAATAATTTTTTTAAATTTTATTTCTATATGTAGCTCTTTCATTCAAAAACCGTTTACGTCTCTTTACATTCTTGTACCATTTTATTTTATTATATCAATCTCTCTCTGAGCATTTTAACGTGTTCTGTACTTGTGTTGTTTATTACGATGTAAGTTTTTATACTCTAATCCTAGTACTTTAGTTTTATTATTACTTATGTATTTTAATATGTTTTGTATTGCTTTTATAGAAGACGACGATGATGAACATAGTTCGAAATTAGTCCTGTCATTTAAATTAAATAAATATTACCGGAAGCAAAGAGTTTTTTCTTAATTATATATCAATTCTTATATAACCTTAAAGGATTACTTTCATAGAATCACTATTTATAATAGATGGACCAAAATTTTTGCGTGGAACTGTACGCATGTTGGTATAGGACAACGCCGATTCAGGTTCACGTAAATCANCAGGTAATATAATAAATAATGTAATAACAAACATATACGACATATAAGACCCGTAAAGAAAAACAAACATATAGATTCCTTCCATACAACAATTTGAATTGCACAATTGGTAAATTCCTAAAAACTCAAAATATCAACATCAGTTATAAAAATAATAATAACATTTTCAATAAGTTAGCCAACTACAAAATAAAAGAAAAACAAGGTAACTCTAGTGGAATATACAACATACAATGCCAAAATTGCAACAGCATTTACATAGGACAAACTGGTAAAAAACTGAATAACCGTATTTAGAACACAAAACTAAAAACAATTCAAACGTTTATAAATATCCTATAGAAACCGGCCATAACATCGACTATAAGGATTACAAACTTTTACACAAATGTAATAAGAGCTATAGAATGGACTTATTGGAGCAACTTGAAATTTCTAAATACTCTAAAGACCCTAATCATATTTTAATGAACGACCAAATCAATAATATTGAGAACCCACTCTTCTCATTTTTAAGCTTTTAGAANGACGTTTAATCGATTTAGAGCAGTAGTGTCCACTAATTTTTGATCAAAATCGACGTTTTATATGTCTTGCCAAGATCGACCGAAGGGTTTAAAGTAACCTTCCTTTTTTTTTGCTCTGAGGCCCAGATATTAGATATTTCAGATTCATGATTTTCTTGGCGATCGACGTTATGGACACCACTGGTATAAAATGTGAGATATATTTTTATCTAATATATTTTTTTGTATTTTAGGTAAGGCCAACACTCTAAAAGTATAGATAGTACCGATTTGTCTCAGTTGTGCACCAGTTAATGGTGCACTGAAATTACAAATACCTTCAAGAAAGTTATTTTGACCAGCAATATAATGACACCAACTACATTGATGTAGTTTAACTTTTGAAGACAATTCCTCAGTTTAGCAGGTAACAGTTTAATTTTTTTTCTTAAATTTTCATTTGAAATTCGGAATTCCATTTCTGAGAATCGATTCCGATGCTTTAAAATTAAACTCAAAAAATAACTTCAAAAATTAAAATCAAGTCCAAGAATTGATAAATTATGAATTCGAGTCGGCATCGGTATCAAATATACTGTAATCGAGATCATAATCAAGTCGAAATGGAAATCATATGATTCTGATTCGAGTCAGACTCTGATTCTGACTCGATACTTAAAATCGAGCACAAGAAAATTTAGAATCAAGCGCAGAATCAAGGCACAAAATTAAAAATGTTACTCTCGTTAAACAAGATTAGAAATAAATTCTCTCTGGAGTTAGATTGGTGGATATAAATTTAAATTATGATGAAAATAATTAAAAAGGATTAATTAATAAAAAGAAAACCCTTTAAACTATTCTTTTGTAATTAATTTATTTTATAAATGAAAAAAAGATCTTTTATTTTAATATAAAAATAAAGGTTTACAAGTTTTATTTATTATAAAAAGAATTCAAAATGTTGACCATTCTTTTCTAAACATAAGGTGATTCTTCTTTTCATATTATCGAAGACCTGTACAAGTTGCTATTCAGTTATTTGTTGAACATTGTGTCTTATTGCATCTTCCAATTCTTCTATGGTATGTAAACGGTTTTGTAGACAGAATTAATAAATAAAAAGAAATCTAGGGGGTTAGATCAGGTGACGTGGTAATATCCTCTACCAATTACTCGATCATCATAAAATTCTTGAAGGAATCTTTCGGTTGCATTATCATGTTGAAAAAATCCTTCTTGCAATTCATCATCATGTAATTGTTCAATGAATTCTTGTAACAAAGCACCATAGATAACCACAATAGATGTGTAACTATTAATAAACTGCTTGCTCAGCGTTTTTAGCGCCATCTATTGGCACGTGTCCCCTAACTAATCAATTGATTATATATGCAGTGCTTTTTTTAAATTACATACACAATTATTTTTTAATGTACACAAAAAAGTGCTTTAAAATTTAGTTATATCACTGTAAAACTAATGAATGTATTGTACTTATAAGTTTATTTGTTTGAAAACCATAGTAAAATATAAGTACAATAGATTTTAATTTTACAGTGATATAGCTATAAATTTCACAGCATTTTTCTCAGTGCATATGTTTTATAAGTTCAAATGCAATAAAAAATGAAAAGATTTTTGATNTCCAGGTAATATAATAAATAATGTAATAACAAACATATACGACATATAAGACCCGTAAAGAAAAACAAACATATAGATTCCTTCCATACAACAATTTAAATTGCACAATTGGTAAATTCCTAGAAACTCAAAATATCAACATCAGTTATAAAAATAATAATAACATTTTCAACAAGTTAGCCAACTACAAAATAAAAGAAGAACAAGGTAACTCTAGCGGAATATACAACATACAATGCCAAAATTGCAACAGCATTTACATAGGACAAACTGGTAGAAAACTGAATAAACGGATTTAGAACACAAAACTAAAAACAATTCAAACGTTTATAAACATTCTATAGAAATCGGCCATAACATCGACTATAAGTATTACAAACTTTTACACAAATGTAATAAGAGCTATAGAATGGACTTATTGGAGCAACTTGAAATTTCTAAATACTCTAAAGACCCTAATCATATTTTAATGGACGACCAAATCAATAATATTGAGAACCCACTNGGGAGCCAAGGGTGCGAAATCTTTTTCTGACACCAAATCATGCCACTCTTGAATTTTGTTAGTTGTTAAAATGTTCTGTTTACAAATTTCACATTTGTAAAAAGAGGCAATTTTTTTGGCAAGAAAGCCACTACTATAGCCCACTGCAATTTTGTCAACATATGGCATATATGATACTGTTGGAAATGAAAAATTTTTATTGATTGAGGAGTATATTCTTCTTCTCCTACATCAAATGAAAGGAACTGGCTTACATTATTTAATAATTTTGTTCCACCCAGTGAATGACTACTAACGAAATTATTAATTAACAAAGTTTTAAAATTTCCAATAAAATTAACTGGGGCCGGATTGACGTTTCTTCCACTATGTTGTCTCATTTGTCCAAAGAAATTTTCTATTGGATCTTGGTTTAAAAATCGTGTTTTTAAACTGGATATACCATATTTTTCTTGCAGATATTTGAAAATGCCCTCCAAACTATTTAACGTAACAATCCAGTTCTTGATGGATGGTGGTGTTGATCTGCTGCCTTTCTTATCTACAAATTTCATGGTAGACAACATCTTTTTAGCATTTTGCCAAAAAGAGAGATGAGGCGATTTACTTGTTGCTGCACAACGCAATGGTATGTTTGTGTTTAGCGCTAACTGACTGCAATTGACACTATCGAATAGATCATTGAAAAATTTAATTGCATATACAGTGTCTATTGCAGACTGGTCCAATTTTCGTCCATCTGCACTAGTTGTACCTGTGAAGTTCAAAATGCAATTATCATTCTGTAAATATTACTAACAATGCTTAAATTGCTACCTGACCGTACAAATACTGCCATTACTGAAGCTGCTGTATAACTAAACGTTTGGCTAGCACACGACACTTTCATTACTCGTATTTTACCAGGAATTACGTGGTCATCGTTCAATTTTGGCATGGCACGAAATTCACTGGATGGATTGTCAATGTAATATGCATCCAATATGTGTTGCTATTTTGCAGTATATTGTTGACCTTCTTTCATGTATGTTAAATTTTTTTAACTAAACGATTACGTATACCTTTTAGTAACTGTGGTGGATCATAAACATGAAAATACGTTTTGTCGTTTATTTTATAGCAATTATCACCACGCCATTCGGTACCTTGTCTGAGAGCATCTGCTTTAGAATTTGCTATTAGTTGATTAATAGCTGCAACATTTCCAGTACCTTGGTCACAGATGGTGGCTACAACGTCAAGTCCACAGTCACCAGTAAATAGATTGGTTAAAATGTTTTTAATATGCCGGACCAAAGTAAAAGTATTAGTAGCATTTTGACAAAAGACGTAACAAATAGTTTGTTTCCATTTATTATTTATACCCCTCAACATGAATACTAACGCAGTATTTGCAATTAAATTTGTTGATTCACTACCTTGTTCTTCAACCCCTATTATTTCTTTAGTATTTTTATTAAAAAATAAATGAGAGTGTATTTTCATTTCATCCCATATCAAAGAACAACATTTATCTTCTGGTTGCAGATTGCTCACATTCCTTAGTCTTTGAAAAATGGGGTTACATATATACTCTTCCACATCCAGAACGGTTATTTATGACAGTCATAAATAAAAGCCGGGGTGATTTTTGCCCGCTCGAGTACCTGAAAAGGTTTATGACAATCAGACAAGGACAGGGTTGAACTTAATTTTTTTTAAACTAAAATTTAATAAAAAACCAAAGTTTAGTTATAACAACTAAAATTTAATTATAAAAACTAGTATAAAAGTCAATGTATAAATGCTAAAATTTAATTATTCGTCGTCGCTATCACAGCTATCATAATTTTCAAAGCTGCTTTCATCGGAACTCTCATTTCCGATATCTATAATAAATCGTTGAATATTTGGCGATACATAAGAATTTTCTACGTCCTTTACGTGTTTTACGCAGTTCCTCAGTTGTAGCTGCATTATGTTTTCTAATATTTCGCTTTAAATTGCTACAGATTAATTCTATGGGGTTCAAAATGCAATGGTAAGGTGGTAATCGTAGAACTATATGTCCCGCTTCTTTTGCCATGCCATCAATTACATATTCGGTTGGAATGTCAACTTCATTGACTTTCGCTAACAGCTTATCTTTGGTAATCTTACCGTCCGGCATGACAATATTATGTTCTTGCATGTAGGATAAAATATATTCTCTTTTATGCCTCTTTGCAGGTTTGGGGTGTAACATTCGAAAATGATAACTTGTGTTGTCAAGAACGATTACCGACCTCTGATTTAATAAATTTGGTAATAATTGATTTTTAAACCATGTCTCAAACAACGCAGAATCCATGTCTTGGTGATAATCTGCAGAACAGTCTTTAATATTTTTTGCAGATAATAACAATCCCTTTTGCACCCAACCATTCTCTCCCCCTGCAAGAATAATAATACGTTTTCCTCTTGAACACGGTATCTTCAATGCACACTTATCACTACCATTGGAAAGGCCCTTTTTTATTACATCATGGGTATCATACCAAGTTTCGTCTAAATAAACAATATTCCACTTCTCTTCCCGATGTTTCCTAATTTGTTCAATAAATTCCCACCTCCATTTTTTTAGCCGGGGAGTTTCGGTAATATGAGCTCGTCCGTCCAGTGATTTGTACTTAAATCCAATTGTTTGGAGATATCGCCGAAAATGTTCTTCAGAATAAGGTATTTCTATATGAAGTTCTTGTAATCTATTCTTTAAAGAGGCGATAGTAGGCACGATATTTTCCGAATACATATCGTAAATAACTGTTTTTATCTCCGTTGTGTAAAGCTGAGCGTCCACTAGAGCGGTAAAACAGCGCGGGGCGGCGCGGCGCGGTGTCTCGAAGCGCGGCGCGGAACGTATGACTTTCGTCCCCTAAGCGCTTTCAATTAGCGAGGAGTAGAGCGGTTTTCATTGTAGATTGCCTTTTCTGCATTTATAACCGAAACTTCCGCAAGCATGGATGAACTTGAAGAGTTGCTGGTTTTAGGAGCGTTAGTAGAAATGGAGGAAAATAATGAAAAAAAAAAAGAAAGAAAAGAAAGCATACTATGTGGATACATGAGATAAATTTAAAACGATCCACATATGGTGAATTCCACCACTTATTTGCTGATCTCTTGAGAGACCCAAAAAAATTTGTAAGATATTTTAGAATGTCGCAAGAGAAATTTTACGAACTTCTCAACATGATTAAGCCAGATATTTCGAAAAGGAATACAACCTTTCGGCAAGCGATAACAGCTGAAGAAAGGTTAGCCACATGTTTGAGGTAAGTAATATTTTATTTAACTATCAATATATTATATTTACATACAGTGCTAGCGTAAAGTAACCCCCCCCCCATGTTTAACTTCTGAACAGATTGAGATATCAATATGAACAAAAAAACGTCAGTTTCTATATTTTATCAGCACAAATATTTACTTATGGAAAATTTTTGTATCACTTTTAGTTTTTCCGGAAAATGGAACAGCTTTGTTTTTTTAAATGGAACACCCAGTATATTATGGTATCTTTCGAAAGAATAAAACAATACGAATTCAACGATACCTCACAATCAAATATCGGTTTATTAGTTTTTTACATAAAAATTAAACAAAATGCGGAATTTCGCCGGAAAAACCAACGTATCTTCGTTGACTACCTGTCGAGATACAATGGGCCAGATAAATGGTGGACGGTCAGTTAAAGGTCGGTCTACGCTCGGATTAAGCAGGGTTAAAATCAGCAATTCTTTTAGAATGTTTTTATGAAACAATCAATACAAGAAAAGGATAAAAAGAAAGTTCTTTTTAAAACTTCTAAGAAAAAATTGTCATAACAACAATTTTAAAGTTTGTAGGTACTTTGAAATTTTGTATTTAAGGCAGCATGCAAATATTTTCCTTCATTTCTATCTTTGAATTCTACCCGACCAAGTATAACCAAAGAAAGGCGAGATCAAAATGGCTAGAAGGAGTTTAGAGCACAATATCGAAGCAATTTTAATATTCGCTCGTGCTGACAGAAATCTACATGAAACAGGGCGACAATTTAAGGAACGATTTCCTGAACATCCAATTAGTCGAAAATATTTAAGAGAGCTTGTGAATAAGTTTTTGGAAACTGGAAGCGTCGAAGACCGCAAAAGAACTGGTCGTCAGATATTAACAGAAGTATTTAATGTGCCCATGATGTCGTCTGCTGCTATCGCATCAACGTGTGATGTGTTAAATATTTCCGCGTCGTTGTTGGAAGACGTGGAAATACTTAAAGAAGAATAAATATCATCCATTTTAAATAAAAATGCTTCATGAATTAACAGAAGATGACCCTGATATAGAAGAACAGAATTTTGTGAGCTAATGACAAATATGGTTGAACGAAATCGATTATACTTGAAACATATTTGTTTCAGTGATGAATGTACTTTCTTTTTGGGTGGAAAATTGCATCGGCGTGATGTTAATCCACATGAATATCGTGACGTTATCACTCAATTTCATTAGAAAGTAAATGTTTTTTTTTCAAGACTTTTGCAAATTGTACAACAGAATTCTGACGATTTTGAAATGGAACTAGTGTTTCATCAAGACGGAGCACCTCCACATTATGCGCCAATGGTACGAAATTATCTTGATAAAAATTTTAATGGACAACAAGATCACCAGATCTGACACCTTTAGATTTCTTTTTATGGGGTTATTTAAAATCCAAGGTATATGAAATTCCGTTGGGTAGTATTGAGGATTTAAAACAAAAAATTATTGACGTCTGCCAAAATATTGATCACATGTTAAGCCGTGTGAGAGAGGAAACACTACAAAGATGGTACCACTGCCTAGAAGTTCAAGGTAATCATATCGAACAATTTACTTAATATTTGATTCTTAATAAATAAAAAATTCTTTTATTATTCAATAACAACACTAAGCAAATTTTTCAACCGTTACCTATACTAGCAAAATCTTTAATAAGAAAATTTCATTTCTTATATTGACTTTTTTTCTTTATAAATATTTTTTGATAAAATATGATTAATTCATAAATTTAATATACTTCCAAACAACTTTTATTTCATTTCTAAAAAAAATAAGTAATTGAACTTGCAATTTTAAATCCGTCTTAGCTCGAGCGTATACCGACCGTCCACCATTTACCTGGCCGATTGCATTTCGACAGGTAGTCGACGAAGATACGTTGGTTTTTCCGGCAAAATTCCGCATTTTGTTTAATTTTTATGCGAAAAACTAATAAACCGATATTTGATTGTGAGGTACCGTTGGATTCGTATTGTTTTCATCTTTCGGAAGATACCATAATATACTGGGTGTTCCATTTAAAAAAACAAAGTTGATCTATTTTCCGGAAAAACTAAAAGTGATGGCAAAATTTTCCATAAGAAAATATTTATGCTGATAAAATATAGAAACTGACGTTTTTTTGTTCATATTGATATCTCAATCTGTTCGGAAGTTAAACAGGGGGGGGGGGGGTTACTTTACGCTAGCACTGTATATACAAGTTATTCATTTATCGTTGATATGAATATAAGTTTTCTTCTGTCTGCGCTTGCGAATTAAATTGTTCGGATTGTCCAGTTGGTTGCAATTGCTGTTGTGAGGAATAACTGATGGACGATATGTGTTGTCCGTATTGAAATGCTTCTAGTTCCGCATTGTGAATAAGATTTGAAAACTCAGATTTTAATTTTAATTGAATATGTTGCGGTAGCGTCCTAAACGTTCCCTCGAGGCTGTCAAAATATTTTGAAATATGATCAGCCTCTCGAGATGGTGATGTTGAGATTATTTTTTTGTGTATATACATTTTTAATAATTCGGCAGCGGAAGTCGACTCTTCTGATTTGTTGGAAATAGGTGTACTCTTTCCACTAGTGGGCGGTTGAATTGCTTTTTTATTTGTATGTTGGATTTCTGAACCCAGCGCATTTTCCTCTTCGTTTTCATTTTCATTTATTGGAGAATCTACTATTGTGGATTCAGACGCTGGTGATTCAGGTTCTACAATATTACTAATTTGCTGCTCACTTTGTGTAAACATATACTGTTTCGCAAATTCCATTTGGCTCTCTAATCGCCAAGGCTTTATTTTTTTTTGCAGCTTGGCCGCTTTTCTTTCTCTTTGCCGCCATCGCTTTGCGATAGCTGTCTCTCAAGGATTTCCAAGTTTTTTTACAGTCTGAAGCTGCAAATAAAATGTATCGCGATTACCTTTTCAATATATGGTATAGGAATATGTTTTAAATCAGTTTTTACTATTTACTTGTGCTGTCTTTTTTGTTTGTAACTGTCTGAGTTTAAATGGTACATTGAATATAACCATTTTTTTTGGGTTTGGGGTTTGGGTGAATATAATATTTATTTATGTAAAAAGAATTGTAAGCATTGCATACAATAAAACTCTTATTATTATAACCATTTTTTACAGATTTTTGGCAACTGGCGATACATTTTCAACTATATCATTCAGCTATAGGATGGGAGAGAAGTCAGTTCGAAGAATAGTTTATGATACTTGTGATGCCATTTGGAATAGACTGTCACCAACCGAAATACCACCACCGAGTCAAGAACGATGGCAAAAAATAGAAAAACAGTTCAGAACAATATGGAATTTTCCAAACTGTATTGGCGCCATAGACGGTAAACACGTTCTGATAAATAAACCGCATCACAGGGGCTCCTTGTATTACAATTACAAAGGAACTTGTAGTATAGTGCTTTTAGCAGTTACTAACGCTCATTCTAAATTTACCATGATAGACGTTGGCGCCTATGGGAAGAATAGTGACGGAAGTATTTTTGCAAATTGTAGTTTTAGTAAAACATTCCAAAATGATACATTGCATTTTCCTGCCAATAAACCTTTACCTGGATGTGATGAGAGTATGCCACATGTTATAATAGGAGATGAGGCATTCCCTTTAAAGAAAAATCTCATGAGGCCTTATCCTGGAAGTCAGCTCGCTAATCAAGAGGATAAAAAGATATTTAACTATAGGCTAAGCCGTGCACGAAATACCAGTGAGAACGCTTTCGGTATTTTATCGAAGAGATTTCGCGTGTATCAGCGAAGGTTTGAAATAAAACCAGAATATGTCAACAAAGTTGTTCTAGCAACATGCTGTCTGCACAATTTTCTTAAATCAGACTGTACAGCTTTATTGGCAGATATCGTCGAAGGTGAATGCAGTTCTAATTCCGGAAGTAATTATAATAATGCTTTGCAAAATATGAACAATATTGGCGGTTCCTTTGCTGGGGTCATCGGATCTAAAACAGA